CTTTATTTGGCTCATATGAGCTTTCAAGTTTCTTGTTTCAGCAAAAATGATAGTTGCATCTGTGTTGTGCTGTTTTGTTTTCCACTAGCTCTAGGGTATTATTTAAATTATTAATGAATTTTCACACGTAAAACAATGATATCAATAGATTCAAGAGAAAGATATAATTTCATAATTAACAACACAAATCAATGAATTAGAGTACCAAAGTAAACAAGTAAAATTGCAATGAATTGAAATTGGAATTGATTTATTATCTAATTGATCTTGCAACTGGGAAATGGAATGAATTCAATCTACATCAACACTTAAAGAGAAATAGACTTTGAATCTATCTAGAACTTGTAATGAAAATTGAAATTGAAATGCAAATTGAAGTAAATGTTTATCTAGGATTCTAAGAACTTGGAAGTAAATTATATTGTCTAATTCTACTCTACACTACTTTCTAATTCCTTCTAATATCTAATACCATCTAATTGTCCAAATTTCTCCTATATTTATAGTGTCGGATTATGCATGTCATGAGGCCTCTCACAAACGTGATAAAATCATTTCCTAATTTTTTTGTTTTTTGTGAATTCTAGAATTTATTTTGGATAGGTTTAGGCAAAAACAAATTTTTAGTAAACGTTTCTTCCATGAGAGAGATCTTTCATTTGAAAATGAATTCAATGTCTTTCCCTCCTAGCCCATATATGGTTCAATAAAAATTTTCAGCCTGTCCAATGGGTTGAGGGATCGTTATGTTGTGCATCAGTATGCACCATGCATGGTGCATACGGATGCAAAAACGACGTTGTTTTATTAAAAACGCGCATCCCACTTAAAAAAATCAGTTTCGATTCTCCTCAACAAAACAAATAAACAAACAAACAAACAAACAAACAAGCAAATAAATAAAACAAAACAAACAAACAAACAAAAAAAAAACAAAAAACAATCTATTATCTAGGTAAGACAATACCTAGATCAAAATGTATTGGCGGTGTGTAGGGAAAGAAAATAATAATAATAATAATAATAATAATAATAATAATAATAACAATATAATTATAAATTTAAGATAATGCTAGCAACATAATTAAGATTTAAACACAAGTAATTATTACTTCTAAATTTGTGTTCAAGTCTTAATTCTATTACTAGTATAGTAGTATTAGTTTAAAATTATAATTATAATATTTGCAAATAGTTTTTTTTTTTGTGACATTTATTCTAATTGTCATATATAAGAAATAATTTGTTGGAGACAAAAATAATTTGAAATACATATTTTACTCTTATTTTTAACAATTCAAAAATTCATTTAACAGAGAAGAGAGAAAACGTCACTTTTAAAATAATTAAGGGGATAAATATAAATACATGATTAATTTAGAAAAAAAAAACACTATTAGCATATAATTCATGAGAAAAAGTGCTATTTTCCATTATTATTAATTGTTTTTTGGCCTCTCTCCAATTTTTCCAGCTAATTTCTATTTGAAAAGTCTTGCAACCTTTCGCTTTCTTTGCATCAAATTAATTCCCACCATATATATATACACATCATTAAATTAGTAGGAATAAAATTTGAGCACACTCTAATTGACTATTCTAAGAGGAATACCGCTATCAATCGGACTTGCGTGAACTTTACTCCTATTGCTTTCATGAAAAAAAATATCTATTATCTGAAGTAAGCCATAACCAAGATCAAAATCTATTAGCGGTGTGGGGAAATTAAAGAAAATTAAGGGGACGTTTGGTTCACGGAATGTTAGATTACCTTAGGGAATGTGAGATGGATGGGAATGTTAGATTCCTGTGTTTGGTTTAAAACTAAGATATGTAAATAAGACAATGGTAATAAGATAAATTGATTAAAACGTCAATAAGTCTAACATTAGTAATTGGAGGTATCTCACATTCCCATTCAATAGCTAAAAATTTAATACAGAGGTTATTTGACATTCCCTGGGAAAGTTACATAACCTGAACTAAACATGTGAATCTTATATTACCAAACAAATATAACATTGGTTATCTTATATAACCTGAACCAAACGCCCCCTAAGGGTGTGTTTGGTTGACAGGTTTAGCACTCAGAAATGAGTATGAAAGTGCTTGTTAATTGTTTGGTTTACTTGTTTTTAAAACACTACTGTGAGTTTAGAATACCCTATTAATTGAAAAATTCATTCCTTATTTTATAAGGGTTTCACCAAAATCATTACTATTATTGATAATCATTCTCATTTCACCCTATTACCAAACATGTAAAATACTTTCACCAAAACCCATTATCATTATCAAGTATTTGATAACCAATCCGATTCTGATTCTCATGTGCGAACCAAACACACCCTAAATAAATTGGATATTGTGACTAAATAACATTTTCCTTGCCTGCCCCAGTTGTTATATCCAACCCTAGTTGTTCTTCTTATTTGCGATCCCTAATACTACTTTATCACAAAATATGAAATTTTCTAGCCCAAAGTCCTTACATCCTAACTCAAAAGATTAGTGATGAATTAATAAACCACGGTGATTCAATAGCTCGATCATTGTGTAAGAGGACTAGTATTAGCTGATGTCTACAATGAACCACATTAAGTGCAATTCTCACAGTATGGCTGCCAAGATTCGATCATATGCCCTTGTTCACAATCAACTACTCAAGAATCATCTAAGTTAGACTCAATATGGTGAACTTCTTGTGAGCATCATGCACTAGCCTCCCACCTAATGAGAAGTTGAGTGATTTATTTGTCGACTAAATGGAAGGCTAAATAGAGGTGACCATTACAGTTCGGTTCTGGTTCCGAACTGGCATTTTCGATTCTGGAAAATGGTGAATTCGAACCGACGATTCCAATTTAAACTGTCAGTTCGAACATTTTTTTTTTATAAATTATATTTTTTATTTTTAAAATAGTCTAAATTCATCAATTTTTTTAGAATTTTCTCATTCTAATTTTTTTTTAATAGTTATATCAAATATTTAAACTTTAAAGTTAAACTAAAAAAAATAAAATAATTGTTATAGTCAAACTTTTTTTTTTTTTTTTTTTATGGTTTTGATTCTTTTGAACCCTAACCTACAGTTTTGGTTCCTAATATTATGGACCGGAACTGGAATGTTTTGGATTCTGGTTCTGAACCAAAACCGTCTATATGGTTCCAATTTAAGTTCAGTTCCTACAATACACACTTTAATTCAAATTGGATGATTGAATTGAGCAGTGGTGATCTCTAAGCTACAAGACTTAAGAGTCAACTAACATACGTTTCTTTCAAACTCGCTTTACTCTCAGATGGTGAAATCGCGTCTGTTTTCGCAATGAATAAATAAATAAATACAAGCTGAAAGGTATTTAAGGCCAAATCCTTGAATGCGAAGGAGTGGTCCAGTCTTGACCTAGTCCAACCTCTCAAAACATTTCGGTATTCCACTTCTTGGTATTTACAGGAGTTAATACCATCTGCAATCCTTCAAATATCGTACTCAATAGTTATTGTGTGAACTACAATTGTGTAGATCACCATAAAAAAAAAAAAAAGCACAAGTTTTTTCACCTAACCCACTACAATATTCAATAGCTTTGTATGTCACCAACAGAAATTAAAGTACCTATATATCTGACTTTAATTTTCAGCTTGTTGTATGCTGAAGAAAATATTAATAAAATTCATTAAGCCTCTGAGTGTGGTTGGAGTGTTTCCAGCTAACTGATCCAATTTCCAATTTCCAATTTCTGGGGCTAAAGTCCCTGCCATAGACCGAAAGGCATCCATGCTAGAGCTGATAGATTACGAACACCGTAGCAATTAATTCAGGAGAATTGATATTTTGTATTCTTGCATGCATGCATACACCCAATACGTACAGCTCATATATATAGTGGGGTCGTGAACTGGAGAGCTGAGTGAAGACCCGTTGGATACAAAAGCATATATGAAGTCATATATTATTGCAATAATGCATTTTCATTAAGATAAATGATAGATAATTGAAGTCCACTCGTTCAGTACATATTATATGGTGCCGTGCAAGTAGTATTTATTCATGGAAACCTTAGCCTGTATGTATCAATTGTCATATATGCATACTAACATGGGGATCACAAACCTATCTTCTCTACTATCCTTCTTCATTTTAGCAATGCCTTTCATAACCAGCGCCTTAGCCACCAACATCACCACTGATCAATCCTCTCTTCTTTCTTTGAAATCCTATACCACCTTAAGTCCCAACCATACATTGGCAAATAACTGGTCAATCAGTGCTTCTATTTGCAACTGGATTGGAGTTGTTTGCGGATCCAAACACCATAGAGTGGTCGCATTAGACATATCAAATATGGGTATTGTGGGTACCCTTCCTCCACAATTAGGCAACCTCTCTTTTCTTGTTTCTCTTAACATAAGTCACAACAGTTTCTATGGAAATTTGCCTAGAGAGTTAGCTAGCCTACATCGGCTACAGTACATAGATTTTGGTTATAATAATTTTAGTGGAAAAATTCCAGAGGAGATTGGCAATCTTGAGAATGCAAAATGGCTAATATTGGAAGTTAACCAACTTGATGGTCCTATCCCCTTCACCATCTTCAACATTTCCACATTACAAAATTTGGTCCTCAACGAAAATAGCTTATCTGGCTCTCTTCCGATGAAGCTCTGTCAACATGCTACAAGACTCAAAGTGCTTCGCCTGTCTTTAAACAAGTTGAGTGGTTATATTCCAAAGAATTTATCAAGTTGCTCAGAACTTGAACAATTGCGATTGGCTTACAACAATTTTATTGGGACAATTCCAAAAGCGATTGGGAGCTTAAATATGCTTCAGATTTTAAAACTGGGTGGTAACAAGTTTGAAGGTATGTTCCTGTACGTATTTAGTTATTAGAGTAATGCGAAACCTATGAAAATATAGCGATCAAATTTAATAATTTTTAGTAATAATTCTAAACACATACACCCTATTTATGACTCATGTTTTAATTTTGTAGGAACAATACCTGAAACAATATTTAACATTTCTACACTAACATATATAAGCATGGAAAACAACAGTCTGTTTGGTATTCTTCCACCAAACATGTGTTTACATCTTCAAAAGCTTGAAGAACTTTACTTGTATAAGAACAAGCTATATGGCAACATTCCAAGGAGCATAGGTGAATGCTCTTCGCTTAAATACCTTTATATGTGGGGTAATCAACTAAATGGGTCGTTGCCAAGACATATTGGAAATTTGACAATGCTAAAGGATCTTGAACTTGCTGAGAATTCATTGTCAGGTATGAAGGATAGATCTCTTCTTTTAAATTAATTGTCTTGCACCCGCAACATGTACAATGTTTTATTGAGCTACAACAACGTATTGGTATCATATTTGTTCGTGACTTAGCTTGGGTAAATTGAATTGGCAGGTGAAATACCAAGAGAGATTGAGAGCTTGAATATGCTTCAGATTTTAAGAGTTGATAATAACAACTTAGAAGGTAATGTATGTTCCTGCATTGGCTACTGGAGTATTGTGAAATCTTTGAAAATGATCAAATTTAACAGTTTTCTATAATAATTCTAAATACATATACACTACATATGACTCATGTTTTAATTTTACAGGAATAATACCTGAAACAATATTTAATATTTCTAACATAACAATTATAAGCATGGAAAACAATAGCCTATTTGTTATTCTCCCTCCAAACATGTTTTCACACCTTCAAACCTTGAAAAACTATACTTGTATACGAACAAGCTATATGGTAACATTCCAAAGAGTATAGGTGAATGCTCTTCACTTAAACACCTTTATATGTGGGAGAATCAATTAAATGGGTTGATGTCAAGACAGATTAGAATTTGACAATTCTAGAGAATCTTGATTTTGGTGGCAAATTGATGAGGACATTTTTCATACATCCATCAAGTATCAAATCACAGTATAGAGTTTAGATATCGTTCCACTGGAGATGGCTCTTGTAATGTTAGGAATTGATGTAAAGTGGAGTTAAGCACAAGCTAAAACTACCCTTTTAGAAGCTAGACCTATCGATAAGGAGATGGTTTGATAAAATTAAGCTAATAACAAATAAGACAAGTAAAACAAAGGACCGGGACTTGGTTGATTCAAGCTAAGATGCCAAATATTGTACTCAAGATTAGAGAATTAAACAAGGCATAGGGTAAGTGAGATGCACAAAAGTGTCCAAATACTACTCTCGTAGCTATTTGGACTTGCAACCTCACATTAAACTCCACTCTTGTGGTAATTCAACCCAAGGATGCCCAAACAAGAACACAAGGCAAAGATTAATTCTCCTTAACACCCGAAATACTCTCGTATTGGGCATTAAGTGTGTGAATGTGTGGCTAGTGTACAAGCACTACTCTCGTAGCAACAAACACACTCCAAATGAAGCATATAATTGGGATCCAAGAATCATACACAAATTTCTCAACAAACTCATTTCACACAACAACCCTAGATCACCCAAATAATCCTCTTTATGCAATACATCTCAAATAGGCATCAATAGCAAGAAATCAAACCAAATCCTAGTCCCAAAACACTTAGCTACTCATAATATAACAATAGATACACAATATTAAAAGAGAAATTGAAAGCATAGATGAAAAGTAAAGAGAAGAGATGAATAAGAAAACTTCTCTATTGAAGCCTTGAAATCCAAGATTTGCAATGTTCTTGAGCTTGGAAATGGAAAGGAAACACAAATCTACACTAATCTAAGCTATTCTAAACTAACCCTAACTAGAGAAATGAAAGGAGAATGAAAGATGTGTTTTTGGGGTGAAAAATCCCCTTTTAAATGAGCAAAAACGGGCTGCTATGTGTTGCAGAGAGCTGGCCACGGGCGTGGCTTCACCCGTGGCCAGAAATGCAGGGCACACTGCCCAGTGGCCACGGGTGTGGCCACGGCCTTGGCCACACCCGTGGCCACTGGCAGTGTGCACTGCCTGTGCACAGAGTCCATCTTCTAGGAATATTTTCACCCTTGAAACGTTTGAATTAGCCTTTGTGGTCTTCATCAAAGTTGTAGCCCTTGAAGTTATCTTTCCAATGATATAAAAATCACTTGATTTGGACATTCCTAGACCGAGATATGGTCAAAATACGGAGACTGCGTCAATCTGGGCGAGAAATGCCACCTTACTATCTTTTGCTTTGCCTTTGCTTTGAATTGCCTATATCATCAAGACCACTAAGTCACAAATATTTGGCACATGGAAGAGTGTTGTTCAATCTTCTTTTCTTCATTTTGCCTCACAAAAATATCCTCATGCTATGATGACTTGAAATCTTGATCAAATAACTCAATGTTTGGCTCAAAACATCATTTTCTTGTCAAGTCACCTAAGCACAAACAATCATTCCATAAGTTACCAAATTGGCTCAATAATATAGTGATTAACAAGTAAAAATACCAAAATGTGCAAGGAAAAAGCATTAGTTTTAGACATTCATCACAAATCTTTTGTCAAGTATGGAAAATTGAGCTCTTTTTTTTTTTTTTTTTTAATTGTTCTGCACTCTGATCTCAACACATACAATTTTTTATCAGGTGCAAAATTAAAATAAAGAATTATAATGTAAATCTAGGAATACACTCCATCATGACAATTATATTTTGATATTGTATTTGTTCATGACTTAGCTTCAGTAACTTGAATTGGCATGCATGCAGGTGAAATACCAAAAGAGTTGGGCAACCTTGATAAACTAGAGTATCTTGTATTGGAGATAAATGAATTAAGTGGTTCCATTACGTGGGAAATCTTCAATATGTCAACACTCATAGGACTATCCCTTGCAGTAAATAACCTTTCAGGTACTCTTCCAACATTTTTAGGTCATTCCCTTCCTAGTTTAGAATACTTATACCTTGGAAGAAACTATATTGGAGGAGTTATACCTCCCCACATCTCAAATGCTTCCAATCTTGTTAGTCTTGAACTTTCCGAGAACCAATTCACAGGCCTCATTCCAAATTCCCTTGGAAACTTAGCAAAACTCGATTTTCTAACACTGCATTTCAACAACCTAACAACTGATCCTCAATTTAGCCTTATAACTTCATTGGCAAACTGTAGATACATCACAATCTTAACATTGTCATTTAACCCTTTAAACGTTGTGCTCCCAAATGCAATCGGCAACCTCTCCCACACTCTCCAATTTCTCCACCTAGAAAATTGTAACATCAAGGGACGAATTTCAGAGGAGATTGGCAATCTGAGTAGCTTATATCTGTTGGATTTAGGGTCCAATGACATTTTAGGATTTTTGCCTACAACCATTCAGGCTCTTCAGAGTCTTCAGGCATTCGGCATACCAGAGAACAGATTAATAGGATCATTTCCAGATGTGATTTGTGAACTACAGAAATTGTTTTGGATAGATTTAGGAAAAAATAAATTTTCAGGTCCAATCTCGGATTGTTTAAGGAACATTTCTTCCTTGAGAGAGATCTATCTGTATGAAAACGAATTCACTGCCTTCCCTGCTAGTCTATGGAGCATTAAAAATCTTTTGAGGCTCGACTTGCATTCGAATAACTTAAGCGGTTCTCTACCTCGAGAAATTGGAAATGCAAAGACCGCAATACTTATTGATCTCTCAAATAACAAACTATCCGGAGAAATTCCGAATAGTATTGGAGGTTTGACAGAGTTGATGAATTTTTCTGTGGCTCATAACACAATCCATGGTTCTATTCCTGACACATTTGGCAAACTCTTGGATCTACATTCTTTGGATCTTTCCGATAATAAAATCTCCGGAATAATTCCCAAGTCATTGGAGGGACTTATAAGTATGAACTATTTCAATGTTTCTTACAACAAATTAACCGGAGAAATTCCGAGTGGAGGCCCTTTTGTCAACTACACTTATGAATCATTCTTGGGGAATGATGGTCTATGTAGTGGTACTCCTCGGATGCATGTCCCACCTTGCCCTGCCCATCAATCAAACAAGAACAGAGTGGTTCTTATTGTACTTGTCTCGTTGGCAGTTCTTATAGTGCTAATTGCCTCTATTTCTGTGCTATGCATCTTCAAGAGGCACGACAGGGAGGTTCCAGATGAAGCAAACTTTCTGTCAGAAACAACTCCAGCAAGATATTCGTACTATGAACTCCAACGGGCAACAAATGGGTTTGATGAAAGCAACTCGCTAGGTAGTGGAAGCTTCGGATCAGTTTATAAAGGGATTTTAACAAATGGGATGCACGTAGCTAACAAGGTTTTCCGTTTGGAACATGAAGGTTCACATAGGAGTTTTGACAGCGAATGTGAGGTTTTACGCAGCATTCGTCACAGAAATCTCACAAAGGTCCTTGGCAGTTGTTCCAACTTGAATTTTAAAGCATTGCTGCTAGAGTATATGCCCAATGGGTGTTTACATAAGTGGCTGCATTCTCACGGTTATTTCTTGGACATGATACAAAGAGTGAGTATAATGATAGATGTGGCATCTGCTTTGGAATATCTCCACTATGGTTACTTCAATCCTATTATCCATTGCGACTTGAAACCCAGTAATGTGTTAATAGATGCTGATATGGTGGGATATTTGAGTGACTTTGGTGTTGCAAAGCTCTTGGGAGATGGGAATTCCATTGCCATTACAAACACCTTAGCAACAATTGGTTACATTGCTCCAGGTAGATGTTTCAGTTTTTTAACTTTCTCGATTTGATTTTAACATTCATCACATAACATTATGCATTTCTAATGGTTTCCTATCAAAATTTGCACTCCTAGAATATGGACAGGAAGGTCTTGTATCCACACGTAGCGATATGTACAGCTTTGGCATTATGTTGCTTGAAGTTTTCACGAAGACTCAGCCTGGAGATGAAATGTTCAGTGAAGATTTAAACTTGAGAAGTTGGGTTCACAATGCACTTCCTACAAATACAAGTCAGATTATAGACCCAAATTTACTTGGACCAAATGAAGAAAAGTATGATGAAAAGTTGCAGTGTGTGTCAGCTATCTTTGAGATAGGCATGAAATGTTCAACAAAGTCCCCTCGAGAGAGGATGAATGTGAAAGATGCCTTATCAGCATTGATAAAGATCAAAGCCCAACTTCTTTCCCTGTATGCAAGTACTTAGAGTAGTATGCAATGTATTAGCACCTCCTATTGTATCTTTCTTTAAAGTGGAAATAAAATGCAGCAGATACAGTTTATATATGTGCAGAAATCCTATTTTGTCATTTACTTGGTCGTCTTCTTCAGCTGCATCTTCTTTCCAGAATTCTGTTTTAAAATTTTAATATTTAAATATGATCGTTACAATACATAAATGTTCAAAAATTTTCTACTAATATGCTTAAATTCTACATAGCATTTAACTTAGCTATCTTATTCTTATCCCTATTGTTGGCCAGAGTCTTGGATTGCAATAATGCAACCTGTGAAAATCCTAACATATTGAATTATTTTATTCAGCAACGTACAAGT